TGTGGTAAATGCTTAAAGGGCTCTTTATGGGCAGAACATGTTAAAGCTAGCATTCTGTGAACTCCCCAGGTTTCACTATTCCATAGTGATGATCCTTATTAATAGTAAGTTGCGCGAGGAAAAGCAATTGGGAAAAATTGTGCCTGCTTCACAGTAAGAATTCTTATTAGGAAGTGTTTTGATGTTGTATTCACCTGTGCTAACTTCCTGGCTTTTGGCTGTGCTCTTCCTTATCCCTTGCCAAACACTGCATATCGGGTATAATATGAGATGTGGCAATAAAACAGGATGCAAACATGCAACTTGAAAAGCAGGATTTCTGTTAGATTAGAAATGTGAAACTGGGATGCTGTTTCTCTTCAGGATCACAGTAAATCAAGAGGGATGTGGGTGGTCACCAGCAACCAGTACACAGAGCCAGTGAGCGGGGCATAAGCAAACAGAAGGTCTAAACTAATTAGAGGAAACCTGCAGCCCAGCAGCTTATGCAACTTTGCTCTTATCAGCTGTAAGTTATGATGTTAAGGTTTTCGGCTCCCTTATTTGCAGCCGTACCTGACTAATTATCCTAGCTCTAGCTTGGTCTTTCCTCACAGCCGCCTGAGAGTCACCTTTTCCCATGCTTTCTGAACCTCTTGTAAAAGCTCTGACTTCTTTCAGAAGCTGAAATGCTGAAGAACTTCTTGTGAATTTAGCCAAGGTCTAGCAGTGACATACATATACAAAGAAAAGATAGCCAGTTCAAGCAGTACTGTAGCTCACCTAATAAACAACATCTCCCCAGATACAGGTCTAACCTGCACCCCCGGGGCAAAAAGTGCTACACCTCTGGTCCTTGCAGATGCTAGCATGAATCTGTTAGATAGTGTCATCTCAGGAAAAAGTGGAATATGAGGAAAGCATAGCAATTTTACTGTCCTGGTAGCACATTTTCTTTGTCTTTTTATATGTTGCATAGCTGATCTGAGGCTTCCTAGACTTGCCAGGGTGGTGGTGTGCTTTCATAGTCAGACAGTGACCAGTGACTTTTCACAAAGCTCTACCCTCTGTCCTTTTGGCTCCCTTTCCATGCCATCACATTAAGGTGTGTTATCTTTTTAAGACTGCTTATAGCATCTTTCAAAGAATAAGGTGTATCAGCTTTCTGTGAGTGTTTTCACTTGCTATGGCTCCAAGGATGGGGAATGGTCTGGTAATAGCTCCTCCAAACTGTGGGGAGGTATGGGTGTCATCTCTGGAGTTTGGAATTAAACCTTCCAATTCTTGAACTGGTCATTTGCCCAGGACCATTTTTTTCTGATAGGACACATGATAACTGCTGTACTTGAATGCTTTCCAGCAAAGGAAACTGAGGGATGGATTGTCAGGTAACACAGTATCAGTGAAGGATGAGCTAAAGCCCATTCTTTCATTCACTTTAAATCCATGTATATCCACATGTTATCCCAGGGATTGGCTAGCTTGTTCTCGGAAAAGTTAATTTTGTTCATTTTATACAGCAATTTATCGGTCGTATGAAGCATAGCCTGAGTTCACCAAGTTTTTCCTATTTCTCTGTATGAATAGTATACGATATGAATTCATTTGAAATTTATCTTTTCATGGTAAGGCTTTGCCAGGTCACCACCACGACATTGGTGCCTCCTGCTTGGGCAGCCTGCACTGACCTTGTTCTAGCTCCAGCAGATTTGCCTCCAGCCACATGTGCACTTTCCAGCACCATCCCCACTTCGCCTTGGTGGTGGTTCTTTCCAGCAACCAGGCTGCCTGGTGTTCAAGGGCTACCGGAGGCTGTCAGATATGAGGGAGGACGTTTATTGCGGTGATCTTCCTCTCGCATTTTACTAGGTTACATCCTATTGCACAACCAAATGCTGTGTGTTTGTTATCCCCAAAGGGCTTTTGTCTCAGTCAATGAGCATCAAAGATGATGGTTATCGGCACAGACACCTGGTAGTAGGTTTTGGTTAAGTTTTTTTTTTTAATTTTATTTTTATCATTCAGTATGGCTCTGAGGTTTGGTAGTTTGTTTATTTTATATGGTGTTTTGTTTGTTTGTTGGTTGGGTTTTTTTCTCTTTTTTTTTTTTCTTTTCTCTCAATTGCACAGTATTGTATCTTTCCATATTCATAAATCATCAATACATGAAGGGATTAGGGGCCAGCTACTGCCGAGTCTTTGCTGCAGGCAGGAATTGGGCACTTCAGACCACATACTAGATAAAGACCCATTTGGCCCTGCTGGCACGTTCACTTTGATCTGCAGAGTTCGCAAAGTGCTTGCAAAAATCCTTTGTGTTTGTGGATGTACAGAGATGGTTCAGACTCCAAGCCTTCAGCAGTCTGAGAGGTAGGCAGAGGGACGCACTGCATTGTGTGTGAGCTTTGCTGGCCAGGCTGGCTTATCTCCAGGACAGTTGAAAAGACAGACCTGGTAGCATTACCCACATTTTTCATTATTGCTTGAGGTGAGAGCATTCCCCACAGAAGCAGGAGAACAAGGTTCAGCCTTACCCTAGGGAAGGGATTTTGTCTTCATCTCTCTCTTCTGAGGAAGATGCCAAACCATAGGCTTTGTTCTTTGCATTGTTCTTATCCTGTCAGTCTGTGTAGCAAAGAATGAAGGGTGAATAGAATGAGTGGGGTGAAGAGAGAGCCTGCAAGGCGGTGTAAGCCTGAGTAGTTCACACTGTGATAAAATCACTGTCTTGAGGGGTGTGGAGGAGGATTTCTTGTTTTCTGGTCTCTGCTGCAAGAAACACTTTTACATGAGTCATAAGATAAAAAGGCATAATAGCACTGAGAACAGCGACTGGACTGCAGAAGTTGTCCCACTCCCTCAAACTGCACACTCAAGTTATTCATGTTACTATTAGAAATGTCAAATTATGTATTTCAATGTGCTGACCCTAAAGAATTTTCAGCTTGGCAAATATGCCAGGAGGGGAAATGTGGGACCAAAAGGTTTTCTTGGCATAAATTAATGAATGATTGATTACTATAACTTCCCCTTTTCCCCAAACCAGAGGTGGCTGTTTTCAAATGTGGAAATCGATCAGAAGTAATCCTGGGTTAACATGATTGTTCAAACTGTGTAGCCCAAGTGAAAGGGTGTCTCAGTGACAGGGATGGTAGTAATCCACCTGCATGGCCAAGTTGCACATGTGAGTATTAATAACTGTGGTGATTATGGTATAATACTGATATGTTGATAATTATGAATAATATCAATAATGAGAAAAAATCAAGTAAGAGCTGATGAGATTTTTATACACTTGTAAATACATGAATTGCATAGCCATTAAGAACCCACTTCTAAGTGTACTAATCAATAGCTAATCAAAACAGTTGGGAAATGTTTGGAAATGAATATGTAGAACAGCTAATGGCGTATGTTAAATGGTGGCTTAAGAGCTTTAAGCTTTCTGCAGAGTTACTGTACTCAGGCACATCTTTTTTTCTGGAGTGCTTTAATGGTGCCAGCAGGGCTGTGAATACAGAAATGGATAATGAACACTAGCAAGGTTTCTTTGGATGGGTTTCTTGCATCTAGGGTAAAAGAGGGCTAACCTCTATCTCAGATCCTGCTGGAACAAGTCAGCAAATCCTGGCAGCATCCTTTGGAAATGGTACAATTGCCTGGCCTACTGCCTTCTGCCAGATGATGCTACTTAGTTTTAGTGTGTCATACATGAAACCAACCTCAACAATTGAAATCCCACAGTAATATCCAAGCCTGAGAAAGAGAGATGGAAGATGCCTATGTGACAGAATTTCTGTGCCAATGGGAGAAAGATCTTAATAAATATTGTTCTCCTACCTCATGATAAGAGACCATTTGGATACTAGCAATAGTCAAGAGATCTCATTTGTGCTGACACTAATCCAATCAGTACAAAACACATTGTAAAAGGCCCCTGGTAGAGTTCATAGAATAACCAGGTCCTATTAGCAAGCCTGTGATGCCTTCCTACTGTATGCCTTCACACAAGGTGGAGTGGTAAATGTGCTTCTGCTGTTACTGAAGCAGGAGCACAGTCTGGTACCTACAAAGGCATCCATCCTCTTTGTAACCTGCAAATCCAGATAGTCTGCTTTACAGTTCTGCAGTCCCATGGTGTTGCCGTATATCCACAAAGGACTGTAGCCATATGCTTTGCAGAAGGGAGGTCTGTCATGGTCCAGTCAAGGCTTTTTCCGTGTTGGCTCTTTCTAGTTGTCTTTCATCAGGTATGTATCCTGTGGTTCCTGGCTCCTTGCTCTCCTGCTTATCTGGTTCTCCCCCTCTTATATTTTCCTCAGCTCTGCTTCTATTCTAGCTCATTTTTACTAACCCCTTGCCTTCTCCAGTCTAACCTTACTATGCATGCTAAGTGAACTATTTTCAGCTGGCACTCGTAGGGGGGCACTCTTAGAAATGGCCTCATTGCTCTGCCTTCCCTCTTGCCCTTTCCACATCTTTCTATGTCAGAGTCTGAATCCTGCAGATCAACAGCATTGATACATTGCAGCAGGTCAAGCATCCTCCCCAGTTATCTGTGAATTAGCGAAAACAGATTAAAAGCTAGCCTGCATCTATGGCTATCAAGGCTGTACAGACAGGTTTCTGTCACACCTGAAGTTACTTCTGAGAACCATATCTGATGGGGATGTCTGTCACTTCTCTTTGGAAGGAAACCAAAGCACTTTCTGCAGTGAGAAGGCTCAGTCCAGCAGGGTTACCAAGGTAGATTCTGTGCTACACATAGGAGCTTTCAGAACTGGGCATTAGCTTTGGCTAGGCAAGCCTGGCTTCATCCATCTGTGACAAGATTTTGCACTAAATGATTTAATATATTTCTGCAGATACAGCATGCACTTTTATCTGAAAGCAAACTTTTTACTTATTTGCTTTTAATTATTTATGGTAATGAAATAGCACCCATATCTTAAAATTTTCCACAAAAATTAATACCCTTGTAGTTCAGATCTGTGGCCAAGAAAGAAAACACAGTTCCCCCCTGTTGCTTACAGTGTTTATTTCTTTTTAACTTCAAAACACAGGTGATTTTCTTAAAACAAATACAGTAATGGGGAAAATGAAAGTGGACTCTTTGTAACTTTCCCAAGAGACACATCTGGAAAAGCATACTTTTACAAACCCCCCCCCCCCCATGTTTTAGCACACTCAGACAGGGAGATTCCAGGAAGTCATAAATAGCAGTGAGGTTAGCAACTGATGTTGTTGGTTTGTTTGTTGTTTTTCGTTTTGTGGGTTTTTTTCCTTCCTTTTCCCCTTGTTTAGCTTGCAAACAGCACTAAAGGAATCCACAATTTCCACAGCTAAAGAAGAGACATTTTTACAGAAGTCTCTTGAGTATGCAATTAATTTCCAAACTGGGGAATTATGAAGACACACCACCTCACTTTGATTCTGTAAAATAAACTTGGTGGAATATGTTGGCTATTATAACATCTGATAGACTTGCTACAGATTTAAGCCTACATCTTAGCTATTTAAATCAGTATTATTAATTGTCACTTAGTTACATTCTCCTAAAAGTCATTTTTTACCCACAGGCAGGTACAAAATCTTTCTTTAGAAGTCGCAGTGAAGCGCTGGATTATATTTTGTAAATGGCTCTGGTGCCATACTTCAGCAGTACTCTTAAAAACTGTGTGTGATTTTCAGTTTCATTGCTTGTACAACATGTCTTGCTCCACCTTAATAGTCTGGTAAAAAACCAACCACTTTGGAGGCAGATCAGTAAAATTAAAGGCCAGCTTTCCTGACTCTGAATGCTACAGCCAGGCCATGCTCACTGGGAAGGCCAGGGAAGATGGAAATAATACTGCAGACCAACAAGATAGTTATTTTCATATTTAGGTAGCAATTTCAGTTATTTTTGCTCATTTGTGCCTGATTTCTGCAAGTCAGTTTTCCTTTTTCTGAATGCTCGAAAAAAACAAACATTTCTGGCACTGAGTATGCTGCAGCACGTTGCAATGTGCTTCATGGCATTTTGTACCTACATAGAAGGAAAATATCACTTTACTGTCTGATTTGCTTGAGTTGTATAGTCATCAGTGCTATCGCAACAAACAGACAGACTGGGAATTAGGAGATCATTCTAGCACGGATCTGAAGAGGGGCTTCCTGAACATAAAGTGGATGCGTGTGTGAAATGGCTGCAAAACTTACAGTCTATCACATTCAATATCAGGGTTATTAGATGGTGTATCGAAAATGCCAATACCCACCTCCCTGTTTGCTGGAGGTGGGGTGTTGGTTGGACTTCCCACCCCAGAATCAGGGCTTGGTGCCGGGTGCATTTCTCCTGCATACTTCTCTTCTTTCTGAGAGGGCTCTTGTTTCTGCTTGAGGTTTTTGAAGCGTTTGAGCTTCACAGGGTCCTTGACTTCCTTGGCACAATGGAACAAGATGAAAATGTCCCTCCGAAATTTGGAGCTCATTCCGAAGTAGATAATGGGATTGTAGAAACTGGCAGACTTAGCAAACAAACTGGCAAGGATGCTGGTAAGATTGGGCACAGGGTAACCATAGGCAGACCATATAGAGATGACAGCATACGGTGACCATGCAATAATGAAGGCTGTGCAAATCACAATAGAAACCTAAAAACAGAAGAAAAACAGTCTTTAATCTGTTCTGGAAGACGACATCAGGGAAGCGATACACTCGGAATAATAGCTTGGACACTTGGCTGGAAGGGAAATGTTCAGATTGTCCTGAATGCATGGCTCGCAGCAGAATACAGGCAAGCAAAAGGCTGGATTTGATGGAGCCAGGGCAGACATAGAAGCTGTATATAAAATTTTGGCATGGTGATGTGCTTAAGCAATGTTTCATCTAATGAAATGAAAATAATTACAGTCCCTTGCTTGTTTATAGGAATTCAGAAGGTTTGGGTAGACTAATGTCAACAAGAAGTAATGGAAAGCTCCACTGTAACTTCTGTGTGTGCTTGGAAGTATTGCAGCTTCTGAAAGAACAGAACATATGCCGAACCAAATTTTTGTTTTGTCTTGTATAACTCACTCCAATTATATTTAGATTATTTTTCACATGATGTAGCACCAATAAGAACCAAGTGACAGGATAGTTTTCAACAAACCTCATATCCTTCACTGAGTTCAGACTCTGTTGCTAGAGATTACAGAGAAATGCAATGCAGCTGTTTTGTTTTTTTGCCCTTTCCTGTTCTGAGACCAATTTTTGGAAAGAGAGATTTTACTGAAAAAGATCCCATCCTATATGAAACCCAAACTCACCCTGGTGACGTCCCGCTCTACTCTCCTCTGTCTGTCTGTAGGATCACCCAGTCCTGTTAATGCATGGCTTAGCTTGACAGTATTTATAATTGACACATATGAGAAGACCATGACTGTGACAGGTAGGAAAAAACAGCAGATAAAAATGGAAATGATGTAGGACTTGTAGATCGTAGAGAAGTTGGCTTTTGCCCAGTCTATCTCACATGTGCCATACATTCGATCTGGAAAGAAAAAAAATAAGTTGGCTAGCATTTTCAGAACTTTTATTTGCTTTTAAGTGATTAATTTATCAGTTCAAATGCTGTATTTTTTGTCTTTTAAGCACTAAAGAATTAGTTGAACTTTATGGTTTAATGAGCGGTGACATAATTTCCTACATAAACAATTTTTCAAGACCAGCAAGACTGTAAGAAGTTTTAATGCCTATTATTGTTCTGTCCAGTTTAGTATTCCAGTGTAAATATATAATGTACAAACTGTTGTTTCTGGGTGAGAAATTGTGACACATAAATAGAAGGAAAAAAAAAAGAAGATAGTTCAGTAGGTTTGATATACTTGTGTGTTGTCTACTCTTACTTGTCATAATCTTCTACATAGTAACTTCCTAACATGAGCAACGTAATAGCATAACAAGCAATTGGGAAGGCACAATAAGCCAAATGTAAAAAGTCACTGATTACAGAGCAATGTAGGAAACCAAAATATTGAAGGGCTTTTAATAGAAACAAAAAAGCAATGAAATCTGTGAGAGCCATGAAAGCAAATTGCTACAGCTAGTGATAAAGATTACTGGAAAATGAAACATTATGAATACTTAAAAAGATACGAGACCTTTTATCAAATGGGAAGCATACAGTTCTGCAACTACAAAGGAACTGCAGGCTTTTAGCAAAGAAATTGGGCATATTGGAGGATTTGCAGCTAGTGGAATTTACAACAGACACTAGCTGATCAGGTACGTCAGGGAAAGGAAGTGGGAATAAGGTGCAGTCTCTGCATAAATACTTTCATGGCTTCTTTAGAGCCTCTAATGTGTTTGCAGATGTCTCCTGACAGAAAACTTTGGTTCAATAGCATTAGAGGCTTTCTATAAATTGTGGATTGTTAATTTTTTAAGTGGAAAAAACTGTTTGGTGTTTTTTTTCAGACAGCTATCACAGCAAAAGGAACTACAAATAAATGAAGCATGAACCAAAATTATGTAAGTCGAGTATTAACAAGTCTTGGAGATATGAGAAATCACTGACACCCAGGGATAATTCTGAATTAAAAAAAACCCCACAACCTTAAAGAATCCCTTAATTCCTCACAGGTGATAGGTTTAGACAGGATGAAGTAAAGCAGCAAAAGATTAAAATCTTTTTTATGATTCTCATCAAAAAGAGCTTGGTATTTTTATCACCAAAAGCTCTAGGTGCTGCTGTCTGGGTGTGCTCAGTAACAGAAATAGATTTTCGTCTCCTTTGCTTTTTTCATCAGTAGACCTCAATATTAAAAAAGATAACCGTAAAATCTGGCTTAATTCCAGGTTTCTGGTTTCCAAAGCTTTTTGACTGAAAAATGAAAACAGCCTCCAGAGGACATGAAGAGAAAATCCTGCAGATTTTCCATGAGCCAGAATTTGGAGCTCTGTTTCCTCCCTCTGCAGAGATACTGGCAAGTGGCATTTCCAAAAATCAGCGAGATCCTTGTCTGCCTGCACCCGCTGCCTGCTGCTGGACTTACCATTGCTCAGCACCCACATCTTCATGGATGCCCTCTGTGGAATGAGCTTAGTGTCAGCCCAGGAACCTGAAGCTGCTATGATTGGTAGGGAAAAATGTTGCTAGAAGTGGTCTTGAAGACCACTGTCAAGGAATTGAACACAAAGTACAAACAGGATCCATGAGAGTAGTTGGATACCCTGATAAGGCAGTGATGACCAAGAAGTCCTTGGCTGTAGTGTAAAGCAAAAAGGGCATATCAGAAATCCTGAAATGCTTCAACAAATGAAGAGCTAATGAGATTAATGTAAAAAGAAAACACAGATTGCTAGAAGATGCACAGAAAATGTTCTGTCCAACACCCCCGAGTTTGACATATCCATAGTGTAAAAGCATATATGTAACATAAATAACCTAATAAATATCTAATAAACAAATTGATTTGGTTTCAAACAAAACATCCATTGAGCCTAATATCCTGCTAACATTTTGGTTTGGTTAGGATCGATGATTTAGATAATCAGTCATAGAAATACATGCTTTTCTGACACCCATACTTCAAGAGTCTTGAGATGCCTCAAGCCTTTATGTTTGATAAGAGGGTATATTCACATAGCTGCTTTAATAAGTCTTCTCAGATTTCATGACTTCTCAAAGGATGCAGATGCCTGCAGGATCCAAGCATGTAACTACTGAACAGTTGGACAATTTCATTCACAAGATTTAAGTTGTTAGGACTCTGTATCATTAGCATTTATTCCTAGATATTTGTTTCCTTGATTTTTTTGAGCCTTAATCTGAAGCAATTTCTCCAGCTTTTTCTTGTGAAGAAATATCCTGGTGTGGGAATATGTCTTAGCCATTGAATTACCGCAGTGGTAACTGCTAAAAATTTTTCCTTCCCCCACCTTGTATTTTGCTATGGCCTTATCTTGCACCCTAATCCCTTGTTGGACTGACAGACTTTCTGACATCTTTTTCTTCTGCTGTTTTAATTCTTGTATTTTCAACATGTAGTTCCAACAGATCTTTCTGACTTGTCTTACAACAGTTTCAAGTTTAACTTGCTGGAACCTGTGCTCTTTTCTAGTTTCCTGATCTTGACAGTTTTTGAAGGATGTCTTTTGATAGTTCCCTTTATCTCATTGCTTTACCATGCCAAATATTTCTGGCCTCTCTTTTTTTTTTTCACAGGTAATATGCACTTGGTCTAAGTATTTCCTGTAATATCTTTAAAGAAAAAAATAAATCTCTTTATAGCTGATACCAAAGCAGGCAACACTCTGCACATATGTCATGCATGATGAATGATTCTCTCAGTTCCACTGATAATTGGTCTGGGTTATCACAAACAGCAAGAAAGAAAGGTAAGAATCTTTGTCCAGTGAAGTGGATAGATGCCAAATAGTTACAACTGAAAGATACCTGTTACCTGTGTAACTGCCCCAGCCAAGTAATGGAGCTCCTGACCAGAAGAAAGCTGCTACCCAAATGAGAACCAGAGACACTGTCATGCTGCTGTTGCTGATGCAGTGACCTGCAATGGCATGGTTTTGTTAGAAAATAGTATTTAGAAAGGCAAACATTTCTCTGCAATCTAAATGCTTTCCTATACCAACAGCTAATAAGGGAAATAGAGCCATTTAAACATAAGACAAAAAAAAAATTAAAATAAAGCATATTCATAAGAAAAGCTTAAACTGTCAGGCTAGCTCTCAAGCCCATTTGTGAACACTGAAAGTGAATGGCTTTAAAGCAGGAGACAATATGCTTGTTGTGCAGTGCAGAATTAGCAAATTCTACGTCAGACTTATGTTTTGCCATTTTGTAAAAAGCAGAAAACAGTTGTATGTTAAATTTTACATAGAAACAAGCAAGCTGGCTCTAAGTTCAGAGGGTTTTCTTTTGCCTGTTGAAAAGATAAAATATGATGCTCAGACTAGATGCTCAGACCACATTAGCCATTTGTGTTGGTTTTGCCTGGGGTGGAATTGATTCTCTTCATAGTGGCTAGCATGAGTCTATGTTTATGATTTGTGCTAGAAACAGTACTGGTAACTAAGAGATCTTTTCATTATTGTTGAGCAGTGCTTACACAGACTCAAGACCTTTTCTGTTCCTCACCCCAGCCCACCAGTGAGTGAGTAATCTGGGGGTGCACAAGAATTTGGGAGGGGACACAGCCGGGACAGCTGACCTGAACGCAAAGGAGATATTCCATACCACAGAACATCATGCTCAGCATATGAACTGGGGGAGCTGGCCGGTAGCCACTGATCATTGCTCAGGAATGGGCTGCACATTGGTCAGTGTGTGGTTGAGCAATTTTATGGTGCATCGCTTGTGTTTCTTGGGGTTTATTGCTCTCTCTCTCTCTCTCTTTCCTATTATTATTGTTAAACTGTTCAATCTCAACCCATGAGTTTTGCCTTCTTTCGATTCTCCTCGGAGGAGAGGTGGGTGTTGTGAGCAAATGGCTGTATGGTACTGAGTTGCCGGCTGAGGTTAAGCTAGAATATCATTCGGTAAACAATATTTAATCTGTCCTACTCTTGTCATACATAGTGGTCATTTCTTTGGTTATGTGTGAAATACCATCATAGAATGGTTATGGATGGAAAGGGCCTCAAGATCATCTAGTTCCAACCCCCTTGGCATGGGCAGGGATGCCTCACACTACATATTGCCCGAGGCTCTGTCCAGCTTGGCCTTAAACACTGCCAAGGATGAAGCGTTTACCACTTCGTTCCTCAACATTTCTGTAAAGATATACTGGTTAGTGACATGTGGGGATGGAAGGTTGCTACAAAAGCTGGAGGCAAGATGTGCAGACTGAAAGTTCCCAGCACCATCTAAAGCAGTCCATGATGCCTACTGTGCACAAATCCTGGTAAAACACCCTGAAGACTGAAAATGTTTGTATGTGTAGCAGCCTCCCGAACCAAGGATCTTATCAACAAGTGGAAACTTCTTCCCAAACATCATCTCATTGAAGATGAAATTAATTGCTTACAGTAAGATCCAGACAGTGATCACTTAAAAGTTACTTAGGTTGCATTCTGAAGACTACAGAGGGTCAGCAGGATGTGTGGTTTCCTTTAGCACAAGGGAGGATTTAGCCCATGGTGACCAAAGTGTAGTAGTAATAATTTGGCTCTTAGTGGGGTTGATTCTGAAGGATTCAATGCAAACATATTTGTAATGTAAATGACTGTGTTATGTTGTGGTTTCCAATGCAGGCAATTTGTATTTGATATATCCTTTGACTGAAAGAAACACAGATTTACACAAGGCACAAAGCAAAACTGGGCCTGCCACTTACTCCTGGCAGGTTTTTCCTTACCTTTCTCAGGATGGCAGCCCTTGATGTAGCGAGTCACACTGATTACTGTAAGGGTATTAATGCTAGCAAGGCCAAACAGAAGTGTCAGGAAGCCATCAATCTGAAAAACAAAGCAGTGCAGGAGGTTCTTTTACTGCAGAGAGAGGAAAATGAAAAGAACTACAGCGATTGCTCCTGTCATTTTCGTGTTAATGCCCTTGAAAGTTTTTTCAGAAACCAAACTAGCAGGGAAATATGAAATGTCAGGTGCTGTTATCATCTATAGGATCAGTGAGCAAGTGAATGTTCAAAACTTATATAAGTGCTCTGTCATGTACATAAAATAAACAAGCAAATGCACCCTTACATCTATATGCTTCCCTGAAATGACTTGCCAAATGAAGGAGAAAAAGGTTGAACCAAATCAAGAAAAGCCCTGAACAGGCAAAAATGTACTGGATGCAGCTGTCTTATGTAGGCAAAACAAACATGCAAGCTAAACCCATGAAACCTAAGCCACAGAGGAAAGAACATAGGAGGTAATGGGCTTGGCTGAGTGAGAGAAGCTTTTTAAATAACTAAATAAAACCATCCAAAGCTAAATCATTCCAATAGACTGAGTCTCAGTCTTGGTGCTACTGCTTGGCTTCTATATGTTAATCCCTGATCTCCATCACTTCTGACTGACACAGGCAGAGCTGTACAGCTGTGTAGGCTCCCAGTGACATCAGTATCTCAGTGACAGATGCACAGGACAGTTACAACTCTGCTAGCCTCACTTATGGGTATAGGAAGGAAATTGCTGCTGACTCTAGTGGAGATGGTGTAGCCATCTGCTAAGGAGCACTGTATGACCGGGAAAGGATACAGGCAAAATGCTGAAGGCAGTCCTTTATTTCTTTTGAATGCTTGCGACGTGATACATCAAACCAGCCAGAGCAGCGGACCACTTGGAGGTGCCAATTTTACACTGAGGGAAGCAGGAATATTAAGCAAGCATCTCTGGACTGTAACTTGGCATTCAAGCGGTAAAATTATCAGCAAAACGACACATCATTATTCTACAGGAGCAGCCTCTGTGTTTGTGTGAATGGGCACAACTCCCACGGAATTCAGTTTACCCCAGCACTGAATCTGGGGCTTTAATCCAGGCTTAAAACTGAGACCATGGCAGACTGTATAAATTAAATTGGGTGAAGGGTTAGGAATGGGTTGCTTCATCATTTCTTTCACCGATGGCTCTTTTTTCACTATCAATGCTCTTACATTGACTCTATACGCTTCTTAATGTCTTTTACCGACTGACTACATTTTAAATTTGTGCAAAAAAAAGTGCTACTACAGCAATCTACATCCACCCATGCTCCACTTATTTGCAATCAGCTCATGCTTTGGGTATAAATGCAACTATGTTTACACCAGAAAAAAAGACTTCCTTGGATGTCTCAGCTACTTGCTAGAAGCTGCCCTTAGCTAAATTTGGCCTGCTGTGTACTGCAGAGATTGGTGAAATACCTGCATTTCATTAGCCTTATTGATGCAAACAGCTGCCACTTCTCCATTTGCTCTAACAACGTTTCATAGATGAGGAAAACAGTGAGGCCAAGGATTACTGAGAAGCCAGGCTGCATAACCTTAAGCAATTGCACTGGTTAGATTAGATTAGAAAGGAAGCAGTATTTCAGCAATTATGCAAATGAACACTTTGAAATTAAGTCTAAAGAGCTATGAGACTGAACACTGAAGAAGTAGGACAAGATTCTCAGTGTGTCTCATAGCCCTCCTATAAACCCCACTTTTTTTCTCATGCTTGGTGGTGTATCACCTGCAGATGTGACCATTATTTTCCCCCTTCCCTGATGTCAGATCAAAGAGAAACAATTACATTGTGATCAGTTCAAACAGCCCTTGAGCACACTTACAAGGGAGGAAAGCGCGTCTAAAAGTACACTCTTGTCCTTTACCATTTAAGATGAAACTCTGCCACCATAAAAAAAAAAAAAAAGACAAAATGTTTTTTTTTGGAGTGGTACCTTGATAAAACAAAATAAGAAAAATAAAAAAAAAAAAGAAAGAAAAAAAAGAGAAGCAGTTTTACTTAAGTCAACATAGTTCATAGGACCAAGCCATTGTCAGTGCCATGTCTTGTTTATGTAGTATTCCATAGCAGCATTTCAGCAGATCAACATACTGTTTCTGCTTCTACTAGTGTGGGGCTATCATCAGAGATTGACCAGGGCCATATGGTTAGCAAGTGGATGAAGTGGCAGCAGTCTCCTGGGACAGCTTTGCTACCTGTCCCTGTGCTAGGCACAGGCTCAGTGGTTTAGGGACAGTTGATGGGGTGAAATGAAAAGGAGGAGAGGGAGGTCTGGGGAATGACAAGAGTGTTAGGATGAAATAAATAAAGGAGGTAAATGAGGTGGCTCTCAGGCTGTAGAACAGCCTACACAGAGGCCATGGCATCTGAAACATTAAAACATGAGAACGCATCCAACAGGGTTAGTGCTGCTTTGGGAGAAGGATCCTCAAGCCAGTATCATCACTGCCAGACTCCTATCAGCAACAGGTTAGCTCTTGAGCGTACTTATGCATGTGCCATTTCCCAATTCTGCAGTACATTTATACTGGTCTCACTTAGACATATGTCTTGAGAAAAAAATGAGGGATCTTACTCTAGCTGTAGCCAACCTACTTCAAGCATACACCTACTGGATATAGAAGCAATATCTCTGATGCTTTTTCTGCTCCTGAACAGACAGCACTGACTGTAGCTAGCAACCAAAGTGACTATTTGGAACCCAAAGTAGTTAGCAACAGAAAAAAAATGCTTTAGCATAGTTCTGACTTCTATAGGCATAGATATTAATATATGTAGGTAACAAAAACATATTCTCAGTCTTCTGCCCCTTTAAAGATATGGGGAATGACAGCCAAGGAAATACTAGAATAGTAGATAACATTTAATTACTTTGGAAGATTGATTCTCTTCCTCTTCCTGCTGCTGGTTTTCCTTTTCTTTTATCCTACCCTCCTTCCCCCCTCCATCCAGCCCTTTCCTTCCACAGGCATAATATTTCCTCCATTTTTGTGTAATGTAATTTTGGCCTTCCTATTGTTAATTACAATCAAATATCAGCAGTGTTAATTGGCAATAGTGAATTCTGTCATAAACACAAAATTGGTTGTGTGGTAATTTTGATCCACCAGCTTCTCTTTTTATCCATTAAGAAACAGGAGTAGATTAGCAGTTTTAAAAGCTTTTCTGTCAGCATTATGACAGTATTACTCCCTTGGCTATATAGATACTCACAGAACTTGCTCATTATCTTTATGTTGCCTGGAAGCTAAGATAAAACTGAAGAAAAGGAGATTTTTTTTTCTGCTTTGTACTTGCGCCTGATTTTAAATCTCGCTAATGTTCTTGGTGTACTATTTACAACCCACAATATATAAAGTTTCCACTGCGTGCAAATTCATTTCTTAAGCTTTGCTTCAACACAGGGAGAGTCAGGAATCCCCAGTGCACTATCAAATTTTTAGCTGTGAGCTTGGGTGTGCCGCATTTTTACTACCTTTTATACTTATGCATCCCTACTGACTACATAAGGGTTGTTTTCATTTAACGCAGACAGAGTGAAATATAACCTATTGTTCTTATTATTGGATTAATCAAGGTTTAATGGCACAAAAGCACATTGCCGAAATAGCTACTACATTTCAATTCAGGTTGAAGCATTGATCTCACCAGCCAGAAAGGATGCATCGCTCCCTCCTCTGGCCAGCTGGTGAATCTGTTACAATTTCCTGAAGTCCTTTTGTTTCCCTTCAGAACCACAACGTTCTGTTTTTACCTTCTATAAAATAAGTGATAATGTATATGTAAAGAAAAAGCGAAACTCTAAACAGGGGTTATTCAAACTTATCACAATAAATTCTCTCAGAATATTTCTTTGAATACAGATCAGATTATTCCAAGATCATAATGGAAATAGATAATGGCAATAAACATCCTTCAACCTCAAGACACAAAACATTTCTTAAATCGATCTTTAAGAAATATATTTGGAAAAACAATTGTGGGTACCTTTGAATAGAGTATGTTTTAAAATTTAACATGTTCTTTTAAGTTTGCAGTAATATTGCACTCAAATCTGATGACAACATACTTCTGCCATCCTCCAATATATCAGTAATATGTCAGACTATACTAACTCTTCTGTTAAATGGAAGAACTACCAAGATTTGCAATCAAAGTCAGTCTTCACGCTACTTAAAGTAGCATAAGTTGAAGTAATGTTCCTAAAGCACTCAAATTTTTCCTTAAGATTTTGCTCATGTGTCATTGCTCTGCTATGGTTGCATTCTGCCTTTTATGATGTCCCAGCAGGCTTTGAGGGTGGCTATTCTTAGAGGTGATGGCATTAACCCAAGCCATTATAGGTCTCTGACACAGATGGCACTTCATTTACTAATAAACAATGAGAACTGATATGCTACAGGATTAGTTTAAAACATTGAGGGCATCAGACACTCACTATTTTGCATTCACCGAGTGACTAAACCTTTCTGTTTGTGGCATATATTTTAAAGATAAGAAGAATATGAATGCGATGTTTACAATATACAATTATGTGCACAGATAGGTGATTATACTAACTATATATTTAAATGTACATTTAGTGCCAGCTATTAATATATACAGGTTTTGTCTTTAGTAATGTTAGGAAATCCAGGAAAAGTTTACTTGTTTGCTTGTAGTTATTTTAGTTTACTTGCAGTTATTTTAGGTTTATATGTTGGGTTAATTGAATGGAATTCAATGTATACTTACTTTGGGCTGACTTTTAGCTATTAGAGTTGTAGCCCTCTCAGGTCACAATTTATACTCATAGTAGAACACGCCCTTATCAATCACCATGGTTATGAATGTAACAACTCCACCAAGTGCACATAATTTAACAGATGGAAATTTCTTTCAGAATTCCCTTACATAGCCTCATTAGATTATAATCTTACTTCAAGTACCTCATCTTCACGTGTTTGGGAGCACCTGCTTTCTAGCTCTGGGTTGGTACTATGGGACTATGAAAGGTTTTAGGTCTCTCCAGCCCACCCATG